CCGGCTAATTTTTGTATTTTCAGTAGAGATGGGGTTTCACCGTGTTGGCCAGGCTGGTCTCCAGCTCCTGACCTTGTGATCTGCCTGCCTCGGACTCCCAAAGTGCTGGAATTACAGGCATGGGCCACCGTGCCCAGTGGTTTTTTCTTCTTTAGCTTGTACGTCATTGTTTCTTGGTGATAGCAGTACATGGGATGTGGAGCAAAGGGGTGGCATTTGTGGTAACCTAGGCCAGGACCCATTGCTTCTGTCCCTAAGCTGCTCTCAAACAAATGTTCCCTAAAATTAATTCCATGGATGTTTCTTGGAATCTGCAGGTACTCTATGAAAAAAAAATTAAATTTTCCATTTTAATTTCAGGAAAAAAATCTCAAAAGTCACTTTGGAAAGCTGAGGCAGGTGGATAACTTGAGGCCAGGAGTTCAAGACATGCCTAGCCAACATGGCAAAACCCCGTCTCTACAAAAAATACAAAAATTAGTTGGGCATGGTGGCACATGCCTGTAATCCCAGCTACACAGAAGGCTGAGACATGACGGTTGCTTGAACCCAGGATTACAGGTGTGAGCCACCATGCCTGGCCCCACTCACTTTTTTACACAGCTTAGTCTGCCTGACCAAACAACCATATAGTGGCTAACATTTCAAAATGTTAGCTTGCCAGATAGTCTTGTTTAAATACATACAGGCCAGGCGCAGTGGTTCACGCTTGTAATCCCAGCACTTTGGATGGCTGAGGCAGGTGGATCACTTGAGGACAGGAGTTCCAGACCAGCTTGGCCAACATGGTGAAACCCCGTCTCTACTGAAAATACAAAAATTAGCTAGGCATGGTGGTGGATCCTGTAATCCCAGCTACTCAGGAGGCTGAGGCAGGAGAATCGCTTGAACCTGGTAGGCAGAGGTTGTTGTGAGCTGAGATCACACCACTGCATTCTAGCCTGGGTGACAGAGTGAGACTCTGTCTCAAAAAAAAAAGAGGCCAGGTGCCGTGGCTCACACCTGTAATCCCAGCACTTTGGGAGGCCAAGGCGGGTGGATCATTTGAGGTCAGGAGTTTGAGACCAGCTTGGCCAACATGGTGAAACCCCCGTCTCTACTAAAAAGACAAAAATTAGGCTTGATACCTCACGCCTGTAATCCCAGCTACGTGGGAGACTAAGGTAGGAGAATCACTTGAACCCAGGAGGCAGAGGTTGCACTGAGCTGAGATCGCGCCACTGCCCTCCAGCCTGGGCAGCAGAGTGAGACTCCATCTCAAAAAAAAAAAAAAGGAACATAAATGTTAATTTGACTTTTTGGTTTGTATTATAGGTAAAATTATAAACTTACAGTTTTATATTGACATGAGAGCTATAAATTAATTTATAGTGGGTTTATGTTTATACACATTGATTTATTTTTTAATTTATTTTTTTGAGACCATGTCTGTTGCCCAGACTGGAGTGCAGCAGCTCAATCTTGGCGTACTGCAACCTCTGCCTACCAGAGGTTCAAGCGATTCTCCTGCCTTAGCCTCCTGAGTAGCTGGGATTACAGGGCCCACCACCATGCCTGGCTAATTTTTGTATTTTTAGTAGAGATGGGGTTTCACCATGTTGGCCAGGAGGGTCTAGAACTCCTGTCAAGTGATTCACCTGCCTCAGCCAACCAAAGTGCTGGGATTACAGGCGTGAACCACTGTGCCTGACCTATGTATATTTAAACAAGACTATTTGGCAGGTTAATATTTTGAAATGTTAGCCACTATATGGTGGTTTGGTCAGGCAGACTAAGCTGTGTAAAAAGGCAAAATAAAAACTAAGGGATCTTCCAGCAGGGTCCGGCACTGCCCAGGTTTTCTCTGTTTCCTTTATTCCTCAATGATGCTGATAAAGAAGAAGTGGGGCCAGGCACAGTGGTTCAAGCCTGTAATCCCAGCAATTTGGATGGCTGAGGAGGGTGGATCACTTGACAGGAGTTCCAGACCATCCTGGCCAACACAGGGAGATCCCATCTCTACAAAAAAAACAACCAAAAAAAAAGCGAGTAGAAGTGCCTGATCAAGAAAGGGAGGATTAAGCAGATGTCAGTTGGCCCTGAAAGACAGGAAGAGCCACTATACTTCAAACCCAGCTCAGGATGGCATGAGGTGAAACAGTACTCTTTTCCTCTCCTTGGGTTGACATCCCTATATACTTTCCTTGAGGTAGTTTCAGTGTATCTCTGTTCCTTATAATTTTCATTTTTTTGAGACAGAGTGTTGCTCTGTCACCTCGGCTAGAGTGCAGTGGAGTGATCTTGGCTCACTGCAACCTCTGCCTCCCGGGTTCAAATAATTGTCCTGTCTCAGCCTCCCCGAGTAGCTGAGATTACAGGCATGTGCCACCATGCCGGCTAATTTTTGTATTTTTAGTAAAGACGTGGTTTCACCATGTTGGCCAGGCTGGTCTCAAACTCCTGACCTCAAATGATCTGCCCGCCTCGGTCTCCCAAATTGCTGGGATTACAGGCGTGAGCCATTGCACCTGGCTGTCTCTGTTCCTTATAACCAAAAAGAGTCCCCAGTTTAAAAGCTCTTAAAGGTCTGGGCACAGTGGCTCACACCTGTAATCTCAGGACTTTGAGAGGCCAGTGTAGGAGGATCACTTGAAGCAGCCTGGGCAACAAAGAGCCCCTGTCTCTACTATTTTATTTTATTTTATTTTATTTTATTTTATATTTTATTTTATTTTATATTTTATTTTATTTATTTTATTTTATTTTTTGAGAGACAGGGTTTTGCCCTGTTGCCCAGGCTAGTGGAGTGCAGTGGCATGATCACAGCTCACTGCAGCATCAGCCTCATGGGCTGAATCTATCCACCTACCTCAGCCTTGTGAGTAGCTGGCACTCAGGTACATGCCACTAATTTTGGTATTTTCTGTAGAGATAGGGTTTTGCCATGTTGCCCAGGCTGGTCTCAAACTCCTGGGCTCAAGTGATTTGCCTTGAGCAGAGATAGAAAGTGAGATTCTATCTCTACAAAAAATAAAAATTAGGCTGGGAGTGGTGATCCCAGCACTTTGGGAGGCCAAGGCAGGTGGATCACCTGAGGTCAGGAATTTGAAACCAGCCTGGCCAACATGGGAAACCCCAATCTCTACTAAAAATATAAAAATTAGTCGGGGGAGGTGGCACCTGCCTATAGTCCCAGATACTCTGGAGGCTGCGGCTTGAGAATCACTTAAACTCGGGAGGTGGAGGTTGCAGTGAGCCGAGATTGTGCACCATACTCTAGCCTGGGCTACAAAGTGAGAATCTGTCTCAAAAAAATAAAAATTAACCACGTATGGTGGTGCATGCCTGTAGTCCTAGCCACTTGGGAGGATGAGGCACGAGGATCCCTTGGGCCCAGAAGTTCAAGACTGCAGTGAGCCATGATTGTAGTGCACTCTAGCCTGGCCGGGAACTTGTCTCCAAAAAAAAAAAAAAAAAAGTTTAACTTCACTATAATAAGCTTCAATTAACATTACATTGGCTGGGTACAGTGGCTCACGCCTGTAATTCCAGCACTTTGGGAGGCTGAGGTGGGCGGATCATGAGGTCAGGAGTTTGAGACTAGCCTGACCAACATGGTGAAACCCCATCTCTACTAAAAAATGCAAAAATCAGTGGGGTGTGGTGGCACTCGCCTGTAGTCCCAGTTATTCGGGAGGCTGAGGTAGGAGAATCGCTTGAACCCCAGAGGCAGAGGTTGCAGTGAGCTGAGATCATGCTACTGCATACTTCAGCCTTGGTGACAGAGCAAAACTTTGTCTCAGAAAAACAAACAAAAAAACATAGTTATAAATCTTTTTCTTTGCCCATCATTTTGACAATGCCAGATTTAGCCTAAGTATAGAGAAACTATAGAGAAATGACCATTACCAGCGTAACTATTAAGAAAGTAATGGGAGCAAACGATACGGTCAGGATGACCAAAGATGACTCCAAGAAACCAAAGGGAAAGATGTCTGTTTATGCCTTTGTGCAGACGTGCAGAGAACATAAGAAGAAAAACCCTATCAATTTTGCAGAGTTTTCCAAGACATGCTCTGAAAGGTGGAAGATAATGTCTGGGAAAGAGAAGTCTAAATTTGATGAAATGGCAAAGGCAGATAAAGTGCACTGTAATCGGGAAATGGGTTATGGACCAGCTAAGGGAGGCAAGAAGGATGATCCTAATGCTCCCAAAAGGCCACCGTCTGGATTCTTCCTGTTCTGTTTGAAATTCTGCCCCAAAATCAAATCCACAAACCCTGGCATCTCTATTGGAGACGTGGCAAAAAAGCTGGGTGAGATGTGGAACAGGTTAAATGACAGTGAAAAGCAGCCTTACGTCACTAAGGTGTGAAAGCCAAAGGAGAAGTATGAGAATGATGTTGCTGACTGTAAGTTGAAAGGAAAGTTTGATGGCACAAAGGGTCCTGCTAAAGTTGCCTGGAAAAAGGTGGAAGAGGAAGACGAAGAAGAAGAGGAAAAGGAGGAATAAATAAACTGTTTGTCAGAAAAAGTAATGGATAAAAATGTGGATGCTCCCTCTGTGTGCCCACTTTCTCCTTCAAGCAAAAAGCAGGCATGAGCAAGTATGAGGGTGGCTTTGAGGGAAGGGTGGAGAGACAAGCTATGACAAGAAGCTGGATACGAAGGACAAATGGATCAACGATTTTGTTTACTGTTTTAAATATACTGCCTTTTTCTAAAAAATTAGTGCAAAAGCTAAAGCTAAAATGTCTTATTTTTATTTTTTTAAACAGGGTGTCACTCTGGTGCAGTGGCCTGATCTCAGCTTACTGCAGCCTTGACTTCTTGGCCTCAGACGATCCTCCCACCTCAGCCTCTTGAGTAGCTGGGACTCAAGCCACCATGCCCAGCTGATTTTTGTATCTTCTGTAGAGGCAGGTCTTGAATCCTGGGTTCAAGTGATCCACCCACCTCAGCTTCCCGAAGTGCTGGATTACAGGCATGAGCTACCTTACCCGGCCTGATTCTTTGTTGAAAAAAATCATATATGCATGTTAAAGGTGTCATTTCCTTTTTTTTTTTTTTTTTTTGAGATGGAGTCTTGCTCTGTCACCCAAGCTGGAGTGCAGTGGCACAATCTTGGTTCACTGCAACTTCCGCCTCCAGCGTTCAAACGATTGTCCTGCCTCAGCCTCCCAAGTAGCTGGGACTAAAGGCGTGCACCACTATGCCTGCCTAATTTTTGTATTTTTAGTAGAAACGGGGTTTCACCATGTTGGCCAGGCTGGTCTTGAACTCTTGACCTCAGGTGATCCACCCACCTCGGCCTCCCAAAGTGCTAGGATTACAAGCATGAGCCACCATGCCTGGCCGAATTGTATACTATTTGTATACATATAACTAACTGTATATACATAGTTGTATAATGTGATACTATTCTCAAGAAAGCTGTTAGAGGCTGGGCGCAGTGGCTCACGCCTGTAATCCTAGCACTTTGGGAGGCCGAGGTGGGTGGATCACCTGAGGTCAGGAGTTCAGGACCAGCCTGGCCATCATGGAGAAACCCCATCTTTAAAAAAATTAATTAATTAAATAAATAAAATAAAAAAAGAAAGCTGTTAGCAAACAAGCAAAAACTATCATTTCAGTTCCCCTGTGGTGGCTTCTGCCTGTAATCCCAACACTTTGGAAGGCTGAGGCAAGAGGATTGCTTTAGCCCAGGAGTTGGAGGCCAGCCTGGGCAACAGAGCGAGATGCCCATCTCTACAAGAAAAAAAAAAGTGCTGGGATTAAAGGCATGAGCCACTGCGCCTGGCCAAGAAAGTATCATTTCTGCTTCTAGAGTTTCAAGTCCCCTCTCCAGTGTTAACCTCTCCTAGCAGTTTCTTGTGTATCTTTCCAGTAAGCTTATTTGGCCAAGCTTACATGTATGAGAATACATCTTTTTCAGTATGAAAGGAAACACACTTTTCTGTGTGCTTTTTCACATAACACTAAATCTTGGCTGTTGCTCCACAGCCGTAAACTTCCTGTTACCGCACTTCACTTTATTGCTTTTCACAGATACTGTGCTTTTTACAAATTGAATGTGGCAACCCTGCATCAAGCAAGTCTATCAGCACCATTTTTCCAACAGCACGTGCTCACTTCTGGTCTCTGTGTCACATTTTGGGAATTTGTATAATATTTCAAATGTTTTCATTATTATTATATCTGTTATGGTGATCCAGGTTGATATTACTATTGTAATTGCGTTGGAGTGCACAAACGGTGCTCATATAAAACATCTATTTGTTATTGTTTATTTATTCAGAGACAGGGTCTCACTCTGTTGCCAAGGGTGAGTGCAGTGGCATGATCTTGGTTCACTGCAGCCTCCTCAACCAGGGCTCAGGGATACTCCTGCCTCAGTCTTCCTAGTATCTGGGTCTACAGGTGTGCATCACACCAGGCTAATTTTTTTATTTTTGTAGAGACGGGGGTCTCACTATGTTGCCCAGGCTAGTCTTGAACTCCTGGGCTCAAATGATCCTCCTGCATCAATCGTCCCAAAGTGGTCTGACTATAGGGAGAGCCACCTCACCCAGCCAATTCTAACTTCTTTGCCAGTCATTCTGGATGGAGGTAGTTTCTCCCCTCAGAATCCCATTAAATTCTCTACAGTACCACAATCTTTTGGGACTTACCTTTACTGGAGTAGCTCTTTTGCTCACGAATGTGGTTCCAGTAACTACATTTTAAGCTCATTATTTGGAACATGTGGCATCCAGATTTTTATTCTGCTTTGAATAGCTGCTTCCCCAGGTAGACAGGAAAGCAAAATTCTCCTACACAAAGTTTGGGGCCGAGGGCCGGGTGTCGGGGCTCACGCCTTTAATCCCAGCACTTTGGGAGGCGAGGCGGGCGGATCACCTGAGGTTAGCCTGGCTAACGTGGTGAAACCCCGTCTCTACTAAAAACACAAAAATTAGCCTGGCGTGGTGGTGTATGCCTGTAATCCCAGCTACTTGGGAGGCTGAGTCAGGAGAATCGCTTGAACCAGGGAGATGGAGGTTGTAGTGAACTAAGATCGCACCACTGGACTCCAGCCTGGGCGACAGAGCAGGTTTTGATCTCAAAAAAAAAAAATTGGGGGGTTGAGGGATGGAGGATACTAACTCATGCAAACACCAAACCCTGCCTTTCTTCCCTTTCCAGGTGGCAAGAAGGCTTTTCAGGTCAGTGATACGCCCTCTGATTCTAGTGTTTTCCACCCTAGTATTCAAGCCTTTGGGTGTCCAAACAAATGGAGAACCAAGAGGTCAGGATCTCTAAAGGTTTAGAAAAACCCTGGGCCACTTCCATTTTGTGAGGTTCTTTATTATTTTTTTTAACCAGTTTTTTTTTTTTTTTTTTTTTTCTTATACAGATAAAATATGACTGTGTTTTTATTTTCATAGTTTAAACAATATGGAATAAAAAGCTATATGATACAGAGCATAAATAATGGGGTTTCACCATGTTGGCCAGGCTGGTCTCGAACTCTTGACCTCAGGTGATCCGCCCGCCTCGGCCTCCCAAAGTGCTGGGATTACAGGCGTGAGCCACCGCGCCCGGCTTTCGTGAGGTTCTCAACATACGGAAAACTGAAGACGTGCTAAGAGTGAGTTACTAAGATGGTGGCTTATCTTAAATCTTTCCATGGCACCATCCTTTCTTTCATCCTGTCATCCCTGTATCTCTCTGCCCTGACACCTAATCTCACTTCAGGAAACATCATAAATTGAAAGTTCAAATAACCTCGGATTATATTATTCTGGACTGTGCGACGAGGCTGCGCAGGCTACTGGGCCGAGCCATGACTCCGCAGGAACTGCGGCGCCGGCCCACCCAGCGCGGTGCAGTGCATGCCAGGCCAGCCAGGCGCCCGCTGTGGGTTCTGCTTATGCCCGTCGGGGCCCGCGTTCTCGGCAAACGGCCCTCCTTCTTGGCCGATCATCGGACTCCTACCCCTTATGCCAGCTGGCATTTGCCCCGTTACCGAAGGGCGCGCGAAGGGTCCCGGGCCTCTGCCCCAGGAGCCAGACCGGTGAGGGTCACCGGGGGTTGGATTGGAACGCCCCCGAAGGCACGAAGGCAACCGGGCGCGGGAACGCCTGCTGAGCCCGCCCCGCCCCGGTACGCGCGCGCCCGGTGGTCTCGATCCAGCGTGGCCCGCCCCTCACCTCCCGCCCAACCAACAGCAACTTCCTGCCTCACTCCCGGCCAATCCTCACACTCCACGAAGAATAGCCGTAGGGGGTGTACGGGAAGGTGCGTAGAGCGATGCCCACGCCGGCCAACAGGATGTCGGGGCTTGCGCGGGAGGGCGGGACTTGGCGCCGGCTGTGGCTACTCAGGGGCTAGGGGCGGACGCAGGGCCGGGCTTCGTGCGGTGGGGCTTGCTCGCGCGGCAGCGGTGGCCGAGGCCTCTTGGTTCTGCGACACGTGACGGTCGGACCGCCTCCGCCTCTGTCTTTACTGCAGCGCCGGGCCAGGTGTGCGGCCGGGACCAGGCACAGGCACCCCTGCTGTCCCCGGGAGGCTGGAGGTGAGACGGGAGACCTGAGCGCGTTCTCAGGCCTGTGAGGACCTGGGGGTGCTGGGAGCGCCGCTGCGGCTGAGGGGTCGGGCGTGGCCGGGGACTGAGGGGTCGGGCTGGCTCTCGAGGGCCCAGGCCCTGCCGATGCGCCGGCCGTGAGCTGGGAGGCCCGAATGTGGGCCTCTTTGGTTCGGGAGCCGGCCCAGGCCGAACCGCCGGGGTCGGGAGGCGTGGCAGGTGCCCTACAGCCGCCTTTGACCGCTGGGAAAGCTGACTTATACCTATGGCTTTGCTTCTAGGGCTTTCTTAGGCCTTTTTGCCGGCTGCCTGGGCAACCGCGAGGTGGGCTGGAGTAACCGGGTAAAAGTGTAGAATGGAATCCGGCCTACTAGGTACTCCTACTAGTAGGGAAGGGTGTTATTAGATCGAGAGAGAATGTTTAGGATTGGCGTTACAATTTAATATTTGAAAATCCAAAGCGAAGACTGGTTTCCAGCTGCCTGAAGAGAAAGGGGAATGTACTAGAAGGAGAACACGCAGTGGTTGAGAAACTTAAGTCTTAACAGTTACAGCACCTATTCGGGAGGGGAGTATGCAGTCGGAGATTGACAGGGCGTTAAAAGCAGGGAAGCACCCCAAAGTTCCTCTAGTGCACCTCTTTACAGTGGAGGCCTAGAGGTATGAAATGACTGGCCCAAGGTCATGCGATTAGTTTAATGGTGGTGCTGGGATTATAGTTCAGGGCTAGGCAATGCAGTGGTTAACGTTAAGGCCCTGGCTCAAGTCTTTCATTGGTCATTTGTTGCTATGTGAACTTCGGCAGTTTTCTTACGCTTTGTGCCCCCCGTTCTTGTCAAGTAATGAATATAATAATGCCTGATGGATTTGTGAGAATTAAGATAAATTACAAAATAAGACAGGGAAGTTCGACATTTAGTAACTGCTCGATATTTACTGCAATACATCATAATCTGGAAGGCGTTGAACCACTACGCTGCCATCCTAGTCTTTGAACTGGTTAAGTCCTGTTTCTCAGGACCTGAAGTCACAGTTAAGGTGAGGGAAGAAACTGGGCGTTGTGTATTAACTGCTGGGCATGACACAAGTGATTGCTGTTTGAGGGAAGTTAAACTGAGCTTAATATTAAAAGCTTGAGAGGAAAAGATGAACCATAGTTAAGTCT